TTTTTTTAATTATCCCCCTAGGATTAATAGGATTGAAAAGATGTAAGTTTCTAGAGGAAAGACTAAAATATAATAGATACAACATATTGCATTTCCTATATCAGAACTGTCTGGTAAGAGCTTCCAAGTTGACATAAATGTTCTATATCTATGTTGTCCAATTTGTCACATGTGGCTAATGGGACTGCCGAGCTGAATTTTATTTATTTATTTATTTGTTTGTATTAGGAATTGAACTCAGGACCTTGCACTTGCTAGGCAGGAGCTTGTGCCAACTAGCTATATCCCCAGCCCAGGAGCTGAATTTTTTTTTTTTTTTTTCTTGTCTTTTTGACACAGGGTCTAGCTATACAGTTCAGGCTGGTCTTGAGCTCACTTTGTAGCCCAGGCTGGCCTCGAATTTGCAACGATTCTCCTGCCTCAGCCTCCTGAGTGCTGGGATTACAGGCATGCGCCACCATGCCCGGCTCCCATTCCAATTCTAGAACATGGTACACTGAGATTTCCTCCCGAGAGTCAATGTGGCCAGAGACCCAAAGAGGCTAATGAGCCTGAGCTGTTGCCTTAGTAAGAGATGTGTGGCTTAACTAAGACACTGCCAAGTATACGTGCCAGCCCTCCCACAGAAGACAGGAAGCACGTTTACCTTGCTTCACTTCTTCTGAGGCCATGGAGTCTCCCACCTCAAAATCCGAGCTGATCCTTTTCCTGAGGAAGCGCAAGTACAGCTCACTACGGGCATTCATCAGGGTGACCTCAGTCAGGATGGGGTCCAGCTCCCTGGGACACACAGAGAAACAGGAATAAGGAAGAAGGGACTGGGGATTTAGCTCAGCGGCACAGCGCCTGCCTGACAAGTGCAAGGTCGTGAGTTCAATTCCTGGTACCGAAAAAAAAAACCCGAAAAAAAAAACCAAACTAACAAAAAAAAAAACGGAATAAGGAAGACACTGGATTCCTCCAAATAGAAGAGCTACAGGGCAGACTCAGCCCCAACTCCCCTCCCCATTGGTGACACAGGGGTCAGCTCTGCCTGATCCTGGCTCTGCTGGCCCAGTTATAGTCAGAGACGGCTGTCAACCACATTTTTCCACTACTTGTTTCACCTGAGTCATTCACCTCTGAAAATTCTGCCCTGGCTAAGTATGAGGCTGGGAAGGCATTTTCTTCCATGGTTTCACAACAATTACTTATGGCTTAGGTGAAAGAAAACATACCTCCCAATCTTTAATTTAGCCATGGTGGGATTTTAGGGTATACCAGTAAGCTGTTCTCACACTTATTCATCTAACCCATCTAGCCAAAACAACGCTAAAAAACAAAGTTAGAGAACTTGCACTTTCTGATTTCAAAATTTACTATAAAGCTATAGCAATCACGACCACAATGTACTGACATAATGATGTACAAATGGAATAAAATTGAGAGCCTGGATGGTTGGTTGATTTTCAGCAAGACGCTGAGACAATTCAATAGGAAAGAATGGCCTTTGCAACAAACTGTGTTGGGACTAATATCCACATGAAAAATAATGAAGTTCAACCCCTACCTCACTAACATGCAAAAATGCCCTCACTTTGCACTTTGTAGAAAACTTTTCAAAACATAAATCTGGTCATCTCCTAGCTCGCAGGTGTATGACCCTAAATGGCTCAACTCTAATGATCTTTCCATACTCATCTCACTTCCAGCTCTTTCCAGTTCTCTGTACCTCAGCTGTACTGACCTTTTTTCAGCTCTTTAAATATACAGGACCTTTGCACATGCTTTCCCCTCTATTTGGAACACTTCCTTATTACACACTCTCCTGTACCCTATTAGTATATCACAGCGATTAACAGTATGAATTGTAGAGCCAAATGGCTTGGATTCTGTTTCTGGTTCTGCCACCATCCTGCTGTATGACCTTGTGTAAATCATTTTGCCTCTCTAGGTATTAGTTTCATCATCTGAAAAATGCTTATAGGTTAAATCAATGATATATAACTAACAGTGAATTTTTCATTTTAGCATCTAGACACAATGACACTCTCCTACAAGGCACAGGACAGCCTCCCTGGACAAAGAATTATCTAGCCACTTAACTTCTGCCAATAGTACAGAGGTTAAAAAACCTTGGGTTAGTTTTTTTTCTTTTCTTTTTTTTTTTGGTAGCAGGAATTGAACTCAGTGCCAAGCGGGCACTTGTGCCATTGAGCTATTTCCCCAGCCTTTTTTTTTTTTTTTAAAATTTTCTTTTTTTGAGATGCATCTTGTTGTTGCCCAGATGGTCTCAAATACCTGAGTAGAAAGGATCCTCCTGCCTCAGTCTCTTGGGTAGATAGGACTACAGGTATGCACCATCATGCCCAGCAGATTAAATGGACTTTAGTACATTATTTGTTAAGTGCCTAGAACAGTATCTGGCATATAATAAATACTATAAGTGTTTACTCTTATTACTATCTACTTGAGAGACCATAGATGTCATAAAGAAAATAACTAAACTGGGCATGGTGGTGCATGCCTGTAATCACAGCACTTGGGAAGCTGAGGCAGGAGGATCACTGAGTTTAACGACAGCCTGGGCTACACAGTGAGTTTCAGGCCAGCCTGAACTAGACGCTAATTCAAAAGAAAAACACACTGTGCCTATTTTGCTCTTTGCTATCAAACAAGGACTAGTATGTGGCACATAATGCATACTCAGGAAAAATTTGATAGAATAACATTTTTATCTTTGAATTTTTTCTTCTGTTTTTATGCTGGGGATTGAACATAAGACCTTGTGCATGCTAAGGGATAAGCAAATGATCTACTACTGAGGTACACACCTAGCCTCACTTTTTTTTTTAATAAGTGTATTTTACTTTCATTATGAAAACAGTAAAAGCTTAAAATTTTAAGAAAATAGTTATCTTTGGGCGAGAGGGAAGAAGAGAGGTACTGTGGAGGCTTTAAAATTACTGGTAATGATCTTTATGAAACACATAGAGACACTTGTTTGTATATTTTTCCATCACAAAATAAGAGTAACTGATAGAATATTTTATTTATTTTTATTTTTATTTTTTTTTTTGTCTGTTTGAGACACAGTCCCACTATGCAGTTCAGGCTGGCCTTGAACTCACTTTGTAGCCCAGGCTGGTCTCGAACTTGCCACGATCCTCCTGCCTCAGCCTCCCAAGTGCTGGGATTACAGGTGTATGTGCCACCACACCCAGCTCTCAATAGAATATTTTAAAAACATGTATCTTAATTGTAAAATATAGTCTCTTAATTACATATAACTACCAAACTGTTATGAGTTGAATAAAATAGGATCATTACCTTGGTTCGATTTTTTCTGGTGCAGAATTTCTCAAATTATTCTGGACAAGCCGGAACTGCAATTTACCACAGAAATTAATATACTTTTCCCTAACCCGTAACCCCATCTATTTATTTCCTGCTGGTCACTCCAAACTTCTGGCATACAACAATGTTTAGGTCTATTTTGCTCAGTCGGTTTACCTTTTCTTTGAGACAGAAGTGGGCTTTCAGGATAAGGGACTGCAGACTCACTTTTGGTTTAGATGCTAATGCTCCCCTCTGTTACTGTGTTTAAAAGTTCAGAAGATTAGTCTAGAGTTTACTACTCTGCAGTTGTGCAAATACAACAGTATGAGGCCACTCCTGCTCCATGTACTACTTTTACTTTTTCTGTTCAAAGGAGTGGGGTGGAAAAATAAAGGTTCTGAAAAAGCACACATTATCTTCAGCAATTAAGGAACTAAGGGGAAATTCAAGGTGAGTTACCTGACACTCAATAAGGCCTTAGGAAAGAAAATCCTCAATGTATCACCAAAGGGCTCTGTAGTACCAGAGGTCTCTGTCATAGAGAATCAGGTTAATGTCTCTGATGAGGTCTTTCAGGAAGTCCTTTCTCTTCCCAGCCTTGTACTGAGGCCATCACTCTCCTGACAATACCTCTTTTAAGTGGGTAGTGGGCAAGATTCAGGTTAATCTGCATTTATCATGTTTTCTTCTCTCTGCATCTTTTTTTTGTTTTTTCTCCTCTAATGTGTTCTATTCAGTGTCCCTGCCTAACGCTGGCTCTGAACCACCAGTAGTTTTCCCTACTCACCTGCTGCTGGTAATCCCTTTGCTTGGTGAACTTGTCTACCACCTTCTCCACCTGTCTGTCACACTCTATTTGAAGATATTTGATCAGGGTGTAAAGTCTTCCTGGTCCATAATAGGTCTCCACTATGGGTTGGTGGGTCTCCACGATGCGGGCAATCCCTAGGAGTAAGAGGGTTGGATTCCAAAGAGTCTTTCCACAAAATAAACACCTTTCTCACATCCAAGACTAACCCAGGGGTAACTTACTCCTTTTGGCTGCTTCACTGTTCAAAAAAACCAAAAATAGTTCTAGCTGGTGTTGGGGGTTATTAAGCGCATTTGTTTGTTAAATACACCCAGTGACTGGTATACTGACAGGCACCTAGGAGTCATACTGATACTGTTTTCTCCAGCAGCATCACACGGCTTTTGGAAATCACGATCTCTCTCTGAAAAATTTATTTTAGAGTTAAAAGTTACTTTTACAGACTTTGGTTCTTAAGGAACAGGGAGGATTAAAATACTGGAGAGTGCTGGGCATGGTGGCACACGTCTGTAATCCAAGCACTCGGGAGGCTGAGGCCAGAGGATCGTTGCAAATTTGAGACCACCGTGGGCTATGAAGTGAGCTCAAGGCCAGCCTGAACTACATAGCGAGACCCTGTCTCAAAAAGATAAAACAAACGAACTAATTACTGGAGAGACTGTAACTAATCTTGCTACTTGGATAACTAAATCTGCAAGTTAATTTTCTACTAAATCAATACAGTAAAAAAAAAAAATCAATACACAGTAAATTACAGAATCAGGTTAAAGGCATTAGGCTAGAGGGGAGAAAAGAAAGGCTAGGATGCAGGCGTCAGGAATGTCTCTGGCTTCTCTATGGTGCCAAAAGAGGCTCACCTTCAAACAGGAGCGTGAGTGTGTCTGCGAAGATGACTGCAGCTCGTCTGTCACTCATGTCTGACCCCAGCACCAGGAGGAGGTTCTCCTCAGCTTTATTGGCCACCTGAAAAAAAAAAAAAAGCAGAAATCCACATCTGCTTTTCAGACTTAAGGCCAGCCTCACAACAGTTTGCTTTCAAGAAAGACTTCCCGCTAGGCGTGGTGGCAAACACCTATAATCCCAGCGCTTGTGAGGCTGAGGCCGTGAGTTCGAGGCCAGCCTGGGCTATATAGTGAGTTCAAGGCCAGCCTGAACTACATTTTTGAGACCCTGTATCAAAAATAGAAAAGAAAAGAAAAAGCCTCCCATTTTCTTTGTCTTCCCATGTTTGCCTTGATGTGCAAAGACCTGGGCAGCTCCAAGGGACCCCTCCTTGAGGGGTTCTGGTCTGTCTGAGACAAGGAGTTTGAGTACGGTAGAGGGATATATAATGCTTTTCTCCTA